TGTTGCAATTTAAAAACGATGAGAAGCAAACTCAAATTCCTATAATGACATCACTCTCGTTAACATATTGGAAGTATAAACCTTGAAATCTTCAAGATGCATCACTCAAATCATATGAAAATCTTTTACCACTCAAATATCCACTCCCTGTAAAATCAATACTGAAAATATTTAGTGAGGTGGTGTAGGCACTTTAATAAAAAAACAAATTAATTCGATTTAAAATTTGCTATTTCAAGAAGAACAAGTGTAACTTAGTACTCCGAGTGATCAGTCTCTGGAGTTGGGTACCCTGTGTCCTCACCTTGTTAATGTTATTGGAAAACGATGGCTTGTTCTTATAATTTGAGTTTATATCCCTGATATACGATTTGCCCGATCCTTTGATTGAATCAAATTTCTCTGCGATCTGAGCTGCTAGTCTTGCCTTGGCTTCGCTGTGGAGTAGTAGCTCCTTACTAGACGAAGAAAGATACAGAAAACAGAAGAAAAAATAAACTCTAGGGTGATCAACGATCATTTATTTATTTATTTGTTTATTCATGGACTCAGTCAGCCACCCCCCCCCCCCCCCCCCCCCCCCCATCCCGACTTGTAGGAAGGTTGAAAGTTAGCGTTTGGAAAAAGAAAGAACCAACGTGGGTCTCAGTTGATAAAATGTATTCAGAAAATATATTGTATTCTATTGTCGTTCTATCTATTTCATTAGGTGTGTTTCATCGTATTTTTGTGAATACATAACATATATTACTTGCTACTTAGCTGATCCCTTGCAAGAGCACAGCACAACACGTGCAGAGCATGGGAAACATGGCGCGATACCTTACTTACCTGTACATGAAGTTATTTGATTGTAATCGCTCCCATTTTGCTACATTACCATCATCACCACCACTGAAGATCAAGATAGGGACTTTACGTGCTGAAGAAAGGAAATAAACTGAATGAGTCAATCGTTTAATCATTCATTCATTCCTTTCATTTTCTTCTCATTTTTTCTTTTTCTTTCTTTCTATCATCCTTCCTTCCCTTTGTTCGTGCGTTCGAACATTCGTTCGTTCGATCATACAAGTACTTACTTCCTACCTTTCTTCCTTCCTTCCTTCCCTCCCTCCCTCCTTCATTCGTTAGTTTGTTCGTTTGTTCGTTCAATCAATCAATTATACAAGTACTTACTGTATACTAGTGTGTCCACGGGACACTTGTTCTTGAGCGTGGTTAAACAACCAGATGAGTTGTACTTCCAGAAAATCAAGTTACGCCTACTATTTGTTCCTGATAAAAGAGGGGAAAAATCAGTTTTTTATTTGTCTGTCCTCTTATTGACGATAAGTTGCGTCATCGATTTTAGTAATCAAAACAACCAATGGAAAGAGCTCGTGCTCGCTGACGTCAGCTTATTCATCTGTCTCTTATTAAAAAAATAGCCAATCAACGCGTGAGAAATGAGATCTGAGTATGATCAACGAACAACGTTTGTACCCAAGCTAGAGCAGAAAGCGCCGCATGTTCAATCTCTTAAAAAAAACCCGAGTAAATGTTACAGCATGTCAATGAATACCTACCAATCACGTGACCCAGATCTGGTAAATAATGGAGAGAGACCAGTGGATACCTGGGGAAATTGAATTATTCTAACGTTTATATCGGACCTCTCTCCAAACTAGGCCTTTGATTTCAATTCCTGACCACTCGGCCTTACAAGTATTAGTTTAATAGTTGGTTACTTCTACTGATTCGCTGGTTTTTCTCCGATTTCTCTAGTTTTACATACTCTCTCCACAAATCCTAACACGCTAAATTTCAATTTATTTTCAAAGTTAACCGTGCACTGACTTAGATCAGCCCAGAGGTTGTTTTATGTTTCAATATGTGAGTTAGCCATGCCCTGACTTAGATCAGCCCAGAGGTTGTTTCAGGGTTCGA